GAAGCCGCGGGGGGCAGGAGGTGGGTGGAGGCGTGGAGCGCAGGGAGCCTAAGCTTTGGAGTTTGGATGAAAGCTCAAGTTTCTCTCTTGGACAAAACGTTGTTAAAATGCCTAACAGATGGGGTGGAGGGTCAGGTCCAACACACAGGTGAGTAAGGAAAGAACGAAGCAGTTAAATCCTCTCTTCCTAGTGGAGAATGATGGCTGAAAGGCAACTCTTTTTTAAAAATGTATTTTAAAATATATTTTTATTGATTTCAGAGAGGAAGGAAGTGAGAGAAAGAGAAACATCAAAGAGAAGAGAGAATCACGGATCCTACACGCCCCCTACTGGGGATCGAGCCTGCAACCCGGGCTCGTGACCCTGACCGGAATCGAACTTGGGACCCTTCAGTCCGCAGGCCAAGGCTCTATCCACTGAGCAAACTGGCTAGGGCAATTACTTGATTTTTGACAAAGATATCAGTGAAATCTAGTAAAGAAACAACGAGCTCTTATTTATTTTAATTTTTTCAGTTAAATCTACATTTGATATCATTTTATATTGGTTTCAGGTGTACTCATAGTGGTTAGCCAATCATATACTTTCCAGAGTGTTCCCCCTGATTTTCCAGTCCCCACCTGGCCCCATACAGTTACTACAATATCACTGACTGTATTCCCTACACTGTACTTTACGTCCCGACAACTGTTTTGTAACTACCCACCTGTACTTTTTAGAAAATATATATATTTTATTGATTTTTTACGGAGAGGAAGGGAGAGGGAATAGAGAGCTAGAAACATCGATGAGAGAGAAACATCGATCAGCTGCCTCCTGCACACCCCCCACTGGGGGTGTGCCCGCAACCAAGGTATATGCCCCCGACCGGAATCGAACCTGGGACCCTTGAGTCCGCAGGCCGACGCTCCATCCACTGAGCCAAACCGGCCAGGGCCCACCTGTACTTCTCAATCCCTAAACGACCTTTTCAGTATGTGCTGCTATGTCAGCTGGAAATCCATACAGAAAAGTTAATTCACAAGAAACCACAAACACCCATCAGAAAGGATATATGCAGCACAATTCACCATAGCTAAGATCTGGAAATAGCCTAAGTGCCCATCAGCAGATGAGTGGATTAAAAACTGTGGTACATCTACACAATGGAATACTATGCTGCTGTAAAAAAGAAAGAATTCTTACCATTTGCAACAGCATGGATGGAACTGGAGAGCATTATGCTAAGTGAAATAAGTCAGTCAGAGAAAGATAAATATCACATGATCTCACTCATTTGTGGAATATGAAGACCATCATAAACCAATGAACAAAAACAGATCCAGAGACAAATGGCAGGGGAGTGTGGGGGGGGGGCGGTAGAGAGCAACCAAAGGGCTT